CGAAAATATGGACGCGCTTTCATTTCCGTCATCTTGTCAGTTCGTTTTTTTTCGGGATTTGGTGACATCTGCCGGCATCCTTGCCCAGAGTATGAACATATGTTGGATTAAAACGCACCGCTGAAGAAATTTCTGTTTCCGTCTATGCAATATTGTTTGCGCACAGAAGTCGGAAAAGTAGTTTATCTCGCAGTGTTTTTTTTCTGAATCTGACGTCAATGACCATCGCCATCGACGATGCCCTGGCGTTAAAAAATTCCATTTGACAGTTAATTTAATACTGTCGACAGGTTTTTCGGTGTTATTACGTTATGAGCTGCAGACTGACCGAATTTTCATGTATCTCCTAAAGTAGATATATTTTTACCCTATTGATTTAACTCCCGCATTCTTGACGTATGCCTTGATGCAAAAACGCGTTATGTTAAAGTTTAATACGGCGATTCGTAGCACATAGCCACGAAACATGGTCAAGTAAATAGTAAAAGTTGCTGATGCAGTAAAACTTATGTAAAGCAGAACTTCAGGTTCAGTAATGGTTGTGAACCTCGCCTTGTGTTACCGAAGGTCTGTTATTTTGTTCGCTTTTCGATGTCTGATCAATCCAAAGAAAAAACACTCATCTTATGGTATGTGAATGTTTTGTTGTATCTCTCCACTAACTATATCCAGCTTTCGACAACTTCTGATATGCTTTACGGTTCACTTAAGTAAATTTGACTGAAATTTGATTGACTGTCCCTCGTCAAACTTTGCTGGTAGCGGTCCAGTGTTCGCTTATTTGTTGTGATATCGAATACTGTTATGTGAATAGACTCTTCTAGTAGTAGGTTTAAACAATTTACTTTCTTGTCTATAATATATAATCGAGACATCGGCCTAGTTCATTTGATATCCTTGGTCTGATAGGAGAGCTGAATGCTATATGCGATCTTATAGAAGTACAGACTTGTTATGTTACGCGCAAATCCAGCTTTATATAGGTAAGAGTTACTGCTGTTCTGACATTGAATGTTAAAGACCGCATTGACAGTAAGGAATTGGGATTGCTTACCATACTTCTTGACTAGGACTTCTGTGATCTTGCTTTAAGTTCCTTGTTATTCCCTCGCTTTCTCATCCTTTTGTGACGATATAAGCAATTTGGTGATATATCATGATGAA